AAGGGTGTGGGTGGCGGGGGGGGGAGGGGGGGGGGGGGGGGGTGTAGGCGTCCCTCCACGGGGCCTCTGGGGTGCGCTGTCCTCCTGCCCTGCCTGGGGCTGTGGGGTGGGCCCAGGCCCGGGGAAGGGGGGAGCACAGTTCCTGGGGAGGGGGAGGAAGACGTGGGGTGGCCGAGGTGGGCACTGTCCCCACTGAGGGGGCACTTCAGGCCCCCGCCGCCCCACGGGGGATCCCACCACCACCCTACGAGGCCCCACAGGGGAAGGGCTCGGCCCCACACAGCCCCCGCCGCCCCGCGGCGCCCCCTACCCCACAGCGCCCCCTACAGGTAGCGTGGGCTGATCTGCGCCACGCGTTGTCCAATCAGAGCCGGCAAGGAGCTGTCACCGTTGCCTCTCTCCACCAATCGAAAGCAGTGAAGGGCGGGACCGGAGAAAGCCGGGCATTCCACCGGAAGTGTACTCCAGGCACAACTTCCTCTCCTCTGCCGCCGTTGGTCCCGCCTCCTGCCCCTTCTCCGCGTTCTGATGGGCCGTGCCAGCTGTCGCCGAGGCTACCCGAAAGCTGATTGGGCAACCTTCCTGGCTGCGCGCCCCGCCCACATCCGGGACTCTGAGGCGCGGTGGCGACGGCGCTGGGCCGCCATTGTGGTGGGGAAGTGCGGGGCGTTGCGGCAGCCGGTGAGAGCGGGTGGGGGGCAATGGGGGCCCGAGGTGGGCGGGGGGTGCCAGTGGGGATGGCGGGGGAGAGGCCGGGGGTGGCCCCGTCCCCGCCCTGAGCCCCTCTCCACCCCCGCAGGTGCGTCGCCATGGCCGCCGTCTTCCCGTACCGCGGCGGCTGCGCCCCGGTGCCCAGCCCGCTGGCGCCGCTGCCCGATTACATGTCTGAGGAGAAGCTGCAGGAGAAAGGTGGGTAGGGCTGGTCCCTGCACCCCCATCCTCCCGAGCGGGACCGGGCTTGACCCCGCTGCCTCTCTGTCCCCGCAGCCCGCAAGTGGCAGCAGCTGCAGGCCAAGCGCTATGCGGAGAAGAGAAAATTCGGCTTCGTGGACGCGCAGAAGGAGGACATGCCCCCCGAGCATGTCCGGAAGATCATCCGCGACCACGGCGACATGACCAACAGGAAATTCCGTCACGACAAGCGCGTATACCTGGGGTAAGGGGACACCCCCCACCCCACCCCGCTATGTGATGCATGGGGAGGCGAGCTGAGTCCTCCTTTGCTGCCTTGTCAAAGCTCCTCGTTGATCGTTAAAGGGAGAGCCCCTCCTCCAAAGGGCTTTCTGTGTCAGTTGTGCATAGAAAGCAGCATAGTAGCTCAAGGAGGATGGGATAATCAGTTGGACTAGGATAGCAATGCAGAAGAGGATATGTGAATGAAGTTGTTGCTTTGAATTTTTGAGAAAAACGTTACCCTGGCTAACACTTTACCTTAGAAGAAGTCGGGGGAGAGTATGAAGTAGTCAGCATATGTTTTTTGCATGATTATAAAGCACCATGACTGCTTCTTTGTTGTTTGGGTTCAGAGAGCTGTCTCACACCGCTCATGATCCATTGGACTAACTTATCATTACCCATAAAAACTCCAGAAACTCATTTGAAACTTTTCTTTTTTTTTCATTTGTAATATTCTTAATGTGCGACAGTCTTTCAGAAGCCAAACCAGTAGAAAACTTTTTGGTAGTGAGATGCATAAAGCACAAGGATAGAATAGGAATGTTGTGGGTTTGTCACTGGAGGCCTTTATGAACAGGTTAAATGAGCAGTTTTCAGGAGTGAAAGGTGTAGAGGTAATTGGGATTGTGGCAGATGGATGGCTATTCCCTTGAGATCCTTTCCAACCCTGATTTTCCTTGATTTCTAATTGTAGTGCTCTGAAGTACATGCCTCATGCTGTTCTGAAGCTCTTGGAGAACATGCCCATGCCCTGGGAGCAAATCAGAGATGTTCCAGTCTTGTACCATATCACAGGCGCCATCTCTTTTGTGAATGAGATTCCCTGGGTCATAGAGCCAGTGTACATTGCTCAGTGGGGGTAAGTGCTTGTTTACTTCACCCTGGTGGGAACTTGTGAGCAAACACATGTGCATCCACAATAAAAACAACATTTAACGGTCTCTGCATTTCTGCCAGGTCGATGTGGATTATGATGAGGCGAGAGAAGAGGGA